TCACTCTGTAATCCAGGCTGTCCTTGAAATCAGAGAGATCTGACTGCCTCTCCTCCCATATGTTGGGATTAAAGGTGTTTGCCACCACACCCAACTACTCTCTTTTTTTCTTTTTTCTTTTAAGGACTTTTTCCTTTTTCATTTCTCTCCCAACCCTACATATATCTTTAAACACAGTGTAAACTATTTAGATGTTTTCTTCATCTTTGAATCTATCTTTACTGTACATCTATTTTTCTGACCACACAAGTCTTTAATTTGCTTAGTGATATGGCTAGGATTAAAACCATGGCTTTGACAGTTGGATCCAGCCTATTCTTTAGCTTTCTGAGATTCTGGCCTCATGACAGAGGTACTGTCGGGAACCATGTTTATTGACACAACTATATGGCATGTCAAGGCTCCTGCCACACCCAAAAAGCATGAGGTCAGCTACTCATAAATACCAGTTAAGTGTCTGGTGGTGGGGCCTCTTAAAAGAGCTGCAAGGCTCTGCAACGAAAGCTGAGTTAGGAAGCCTCTCTTAAATGAGAGAGCTTGCCTCTAGCAAGCGGAGCCCATCCAAGAAAGTGCTGCCATTAAGAAGTCGTGCTTAACTCTATTCTTTTCTATCTAGAATAACTTCCCAAGGTCTCTCATGTTTTTAAGTGGATGCAGTTGTCCTTGTTGGCACCATTTGTTGTCTGAGATTTCTGTCCCACCCAGTACGCAGCCATTCAGCCCCAAAGAAATACACAGAGGTCTACATTAGTTATAAACTGATTGACCCATTAGCTCAGGCTTCTTACAAACAATTCTTACATCTTAAATTGGCCAATTATTCTTGTCTAGGTTAGCCAATGGCTCGGTACTTTTTTGGCAAGGCAGTCAAATCTTGCTTGCTCTGTGTCCAGATTATGACTACAGACTGCAGAATCCTCTTCCCAGAATTGTTCTCATTTTCCCATCTCTACTTCTCGCCTGGTCACCCCTCCTATTCTTCCTTCCTGGCTACTGGCCAATCAGCATTTTATTAAAAATAATACAAGTGACAGGATAAAATACTATTGTCCCAAAGCATACAAAGACAGAAAGCACATGAATGACAAACACCACAGTTAAACAAAGGGCAGAAAACAGATTCACATGGGTACCAGATGGTCTGATTTGCTGAAAGACCAGAAATTCAGCCTCAACAAGACCAAAAGTCATACAGATGGGACAAGAGTCATTAAGGCTAACTGATCCCCAGATTCTTACAAGTGGGGCCCTATTGGGTTCCTGACAGGATGGTCTCAGAGGAGAGAGACCCCTGTCCATAAAGGAAAAGAGATGTCTCTCAATTCCCCCAGGTAGGCCCTCTAGCGTGTCCACCATTGCAAACTGACCTTTTCAGATTCAGATTTAGTGTGCCACAGAATAGAAAACAGAAGACAGACAGAACCAGAAACACATAAAGCCAGTAAAACTCACCAGATTCTGGGGGTCTATGGAATCTTGGATTTCCTGAATGAGCCCTGAAATGTTATGCACAATTTTCTGGTCCTCAAATCAATTCACAGAGCCAGATTTCTGATACAAATTATATAAGAGTTTTGAGTGTGAACTCCACCTCCACCACACGATTGCAGTGGGTGATGGAAGTGCTGATCTGAACCCAAATAAGGGGCAAACATTTAAAGGGGAAATGCAATGTTCATGGGAGGCCATGTCCTGTCATCTTGGGATTGGATGAGGAGTACCTAAGATAAGATAGTTCCTGAAACCATTGATCAGTTTTGAGGGGCAAAATCCTAACAAAGAGCTATAAATTACTGACAAGGTATCTTCAAGGACAGGATGCTTCCCAAGAACAACTGGACCTCATTCTTTTATGGCGCTGCTCCCTAGCTTCTTAATTAGCCATTTTTATGGTATCTGTTTAAATATTTGCTCTCATAGCACATTTCTGAAGCTGATATCTGCTCACCCCCAAGCTCATTACATTCCTTAAGATGAAGCCCCTTCTTTAAAATGGAGTTTGCAAAGTTAGATCCTCACAATAAAGGAAAAAAATAATTATGGTGGCTTATATTTACAGAACTTTTGTCCACTATTTTCAGGTTGCAACATGGTGGTATAGGCAGACATGCTGCTAGAGGAGTAGCCAGGTGTCTGACATCTTGCCTTGCAAACAACAGGAAGTGGTCTGTCTCACTGGGCATGGTTTGAGCATATATGAAACCAAAATTTCCACCTTCACAGTGACACACTTCCTCAAACAAGACCAAACCTATTCCTAAAAGGCCACACCTCCTATTAGTGCTACTCCCTTTAGAGGTCATTTTTTTCTAAACTTCCACATTTATAACCTTGATACCCAAAAATTTATAGATATAAAATCATGTAAAAATGCATTTAGTCAAACTTCAAAAGTCCCCATTGTCTATACAGTCTTGAGCTTACTTAAATGACTAAAGTTCAAAGTCTCTTCTGATATCCATGCAAGCTCTTAATTTTCATACCATGCAAAATCAAAATCAAATAGCAATTCAAGTAATTCCATATAATGACACAGGATATACATTACCATCCCAAAATGTAAGAAAAGGAGAAAAGCAAGGAAATACTGAACAAAGCAAGAATGAAAACCAAACTATACATCTTCATGTCAGATGTCAAATGTTCTCCAGATCTCCAACTCTTTTCACTTTTGTAGACTGAATCACATTTATCTTTCTTGGGCTGATCCCATATGTGTTAGCAGCGTTCCTTGACAGGTATTCTCCAACTATGTCATCTCCAAAATTTTGGGGTCTTCAAGACAATCCAAAATACACCTTCTTAGTTTCTTGCAATGGCATCTTTAGGCTATCATTCAGGGACACCCCTGATATATGCCTGACCTCTGCAGCTTTCCTTCATCACCCCTTGATTCTAAAACCGAAAACACATGACAGAAGTTTCCAAGTTGAGGCTGGAACATGTCACCCTTATTTAACTACATCTTCACCAGCTCTGTTTTTAATGATTTCCTTCACTGCCTAAACTTGGCTGTTCTGGAGCTTCCTTTGTTGACCAGTCTGGCCTTAAAACTCAGAGATCTACCAGTCTCTCCCTTCTGAGTGCAGGGATTAAAGGCCTGTACAACCACACTTGCTGTGGGACAATGTTTTTATCCTGTCTCTTGTATTAGTTTTAATATAATGCTGATTGTCCAGTAGCCAGGCATGAAGTAGAGGAAGGGCAATGTGAATTCTGGCAAGAGGGAAGTTTTAGTCTTCAGTCATGACCCAGATACTGAGCAAGCAAGATGTGACTGCTTCACCGAAAAAGGTACCAAGCCACATGGCTAACATAGCCAAAAATAATGGGCTAATATAAGTGATAAGAGTTAATAAGAAGCTTGAGCTACTAGGCCAACCAGTTTCATAATTGATGTAGACCTCTGTGTGCTCATTTGGGACTAAACAGCTGAAGGTGGTATGGCTAACATAGAGGGACCAGGTAGGACATAAACCTTGGTCAACACCCAACTGACCTTAAACTTTTATTTAATTCTTTTTCAAAATTTGGAAATTTAGCTGGGTGGGATCTTGCCCTAAGGTCTCTATTTCCTTTGTCCATGTTCCTATTATTATGACCCACTAAACAACACTTAAAGCATCCAGCTTTTTTTTTCTAATCCGTAGTCCCTTGGTTCATATACCTTCAAACAAAAACATTATCAGGCCTATTAGAACAATATTTCATTCCAGGTACCAATTTCTGCTTTACTTATACTTTCTATTGTTGTGAAAAGACACCAAGACAATAGAAACCCTTCTAAGGAAAAATATTTATTTAGAGTGCCTTATATTTTCAAAGGATTAGTCCACTATCATCATAGTACAACATGGTGGTGTGTAGAGAGATACAGTGCTAGAGAAGTTGCCCAGTGTCCTATATCTTGACTTGCCAGCAACAATAACACAGCAAGACCACACCTCCTCCAACAAGACCACACATTTCAGTAATGCTACACATTTTGGGGACATTTTCTTACAAACCACCACAGTCAGTGTTATTACTTAGGGCTTCTATTGCTGTGATGAAACACCATGACCAAAAACATGTTTGGAGGAAAGCATTTATATAAAGCTTACAATTTTGTAGCATTGTTCATCATAATGTAAGTCATGACAAGAATTCAAACAGAGCAAGAACCTCGAGTCAGCAACTGATGTAGAAGCCATGGACAGGTGTTGCTTACTGACTTGTTCCTCTTGACTTGTCATCCTGCTTTTTTATAGAACCCAGGACTACCAGCCTAGGGATGGCACCAAGAACAATGATGTATGTCCTCCATAAATTATTAATTAAGATAATGTTTTACAGACATTCCTTCAGCTTGATATTATGGAGACATTTTCTTAATTGAGTTTCCCTCCTCTTGGATGATTTTTCTAGTGTCAAGTTAAAATTATCCAAACAAATTGTGCTTGCTCTTTTCTTAAAAAAATTATGTTATCCAAAAACTATATGAAGAATCTAGGAATAACAGCAAATTTATAAACACGAAAACTGTAGAAACAGAGGCAGGCAAATCCCTTGAGCTCACTGGCCAGCCACATTAACTAATTTGAGTGTTCTTTGTCAGTGAGAGACATTGACTGGCTCAAGAAAACTAGAAGGATGCCTCCTGAGATATAATATTGAATGCTGACCTCTTGTCTTCATGCACACAAGCACACAAGTGAATTTACTCTAATGTAGATGCCTGTGCTTATGTGAAGGCACACACACACACACACACACACACACACACACACACACACTTCTTGGATACTTTTCATATATTTGATTTACTAATGTTGTTCATATGGTTGAGTCCATCAAATTATTTTATCACTCCAGTAATTTAAAAGTCGCACAAAATCACCTCTGAGAAACCCCTGTGACCTAAATCCTGGGAGACTAAGAGTCAATCTCACAGGCTTATGAGCACTGAAGAAGACCTCTTTAAATTCCACTTTCAGTCAAGCAGAAAACTTTGTCTCCCATATTTTCATTTTAACCTGAGGCCACATTGAGGGCAGGACTTGAGTAGCAGTGGCAACATTCTCTACATCAACTGCCAGAGATGTTTTTCTACACTTAGGTATACAAGGAAGAGTTAGATACAAACTATCTGCTTTAATCATACTTTCTGTCATAGCAGACAGGGATTATCTATGAGATTTTCACAGACTGACACATGGTGAGATTTACAAGCTACAATTTTGCCTGTTATGACTCTACAATAATTTACTATGTATCTTTCCAAAGTGTTTCTTGAGTGAAAAAATTTCATTATAATTGGTATGACTTTTAAAGTGGGGTTTTAAAAACATATTTATTATTATGACCATTTCAACTTTTATCTTAGTCTCTAAAATTAATATTCATGTTTCCTTTTATCTTAGTTTATATAATATGTCAATAAAATTGTTAGTTATTTTTTTGCCTGAGTATGATGTCACAAGCTTGTAGTCCCAGCACTTTAGAGGCAGGAACAGCAAGAGCAAGAGCCCATGGTCATCCTAAAAAGCATGGTGAGTTCACACTCATGCCCATCCTGGGCTACAAGAGACATAATTCATTAAAAGACCACTAAAAATAAAAATGAACTATTATTGTTTATAAACCCATGTGCAAAATCATTGATATGAAATTGTTTGTTCAATGGCAAATGGGTATCACATATGAATATTTTCTCTGGCTTTTTGATATCAGACTTAACAATTTTGTTCTTTCTACTTAATGTTTTATTTATCCAATTTAAGATTAACAAAAGTATGAGGAAAGAATTTCCTTATGTGTATGTTATTCATTTGGTTTCACATGTCATGCTATGTTTAGAAAAGAAGATTGCATTTGTGCTTGTTTTAGAACGATGACAATGCATTGTAGAGATCTAATTCTGTTGTTTCCTGATCTAAAGTATATGAGTAGATACTGAGTTTATGTTACATCAGAAGACATAGAAATAGTATTTGAATGTTTTAGACAACACTGTTTTGGCTTTGTTTTCTATTTTCATAAAAATGTTAAACTATTTCTCTTTACTCTAATTAAAAATTATTTAAGTAAACTTATTCTTCCTCTTAGTACAAATACATTATTATTTTATGCACAAATTTTAAGAATAACAATCTATAGATGAATACTATTCATATAAAAATTTGTATTTTACAGAAACTTGCATTGTATATACAGGACAGAATATGGACATTTTGTAAGCTGTGTCTTCTTGAGAAAAATAAGCTTAGGGGCTGGATTATTTATCTGAATGATTCACAGGAAAATTTCTGTGGATATGGAAGTTGCAATTTCAGAAGAATGAATTGAATTATAATTGTAAAAACATAGCAAAAGCAGCATTTTTAAATTTTACCCCCTTCATGAGCTTAGACTAAACAGGTAAGTTGTTTACAAATATCTCCCATAGACTAAATTCACACACATTTCAAACCATGTCATAGAATTATACTTCCTAAAACCATGTGTCATGGTATGTAATAGTTGATTAAGAAGTGTAAAGACTATATTATAGTACAGCTTCTGTTTTTCTCTATAATAGGTTCAAGTAGATGTAGTCAATTTGCTTGCAAAAGTGTTTGGCCATTGTTTTCTAAGTCTTACTTTTAATTTCACTCATGTACAAAATATATCTTCATCATATGCACACCTCACAGTCCTTCAGACCCTCACAGAGGACTCCATTGCATAACCTCTCAATTTCATGACTCCTTTTATAATTTTTTAATTGATTATTTATTTAGTAATAGTTTCCTTTGGATTAGTTCAGGTATCATAACAAAAGACATTATTTTATTTAAGAAAGGGTCACATTTTACAATACTGAGTTAAAATTTATATCATAACTCTTTAAAAATATCAATCTTTCATAGAGCTAGACACCTCACCATAGACATTTCTGTATTAAAAAGAATGAGTTAATCTAACTTAAGTGTTAATGCATTCTAGACATCAAAGAGAATTTGAAATATATCCAGGATTTCTAAGTTCATTTCCTGTTCCTTCATCAATTGGCATAACAGAGTGTTTGAGTAGGCTCTAGCAGATATGGTTAATCAATTATGGTTTTTCTGTCCAGAAGTAGAATGTGGTTTGGGGATGTCTTTTAAGACTACACATCAGGAAGCTGCTGGAGAATGAGAAAAACTGAAACTTTAAAGATGCACTGTTTCTTTCTTTACACCAAGCAGGTGGTTTTTATTTCTTATAATACAAACAAGACTATTTTGAATATTCAGTAATTTTTATCCATCACAATTCTTCCTGATCATCAACTGATAAATTCTCAATTTTGTTTTAAATATCAAAGGAATTAAGCAATAGAAGGGTGCATATCAATGCACATGCTTGCTCATAATATTGTAAAGTTTTTTGAAACAATTTTTCTCATTAATTACAGATTTAAATGGCAACAGAGAAGGCACAGTGGTAAAGATACTTGTAATCAAGACTGAAATCTGAGTTCACACCCCAGAACCTGCACAGTAGAGAGGTGTTATTCCTGCTAACTGTTCGCTGACGTCTACACAAAGACTAAAGCATTTTTGCCTGTGCGCGCACACACACACATCAAAGTCCATAAGCGCACACACATACATAAATGACTAAATACATGCATAAATAAGAGGAATTTTATCTTAAACTTTCTTGAGAATCATGCCAAATCAGACTATTGTAACAGAGTTCATCCTCCTGGGACTTTCACAGAACCCAAAAGTTCAGAAAATAATATTTGTTGTATGTTTGTTTGCCTATATTGCAACCATGGGAGGCAACATAATGATTGCAGTAACCATCCTCTGCAGTCCTGCACTGCTTGGGTCACCTATGTACTTCTTCTTGGCATTTCTGTCCTTCTTGGATGCATGCATTACTTCAGTCATTGCACCAAAGATGATTGCTGACTCCCTCAATGACAGCAAAACCATCTCCTTTGAAGGCTGTATGACACAGATCTTTGCTGAACACTTCTTTGCTGCAGTAGAAGTGATTGTCCTCATAGTGATGGCCTATGACCGCTATGTAGCCATTTGTAAGCCCTTACATTACTCTTCCATAATGAACTGGAGGCACTGTAGCACTCTGGTGGGGGTGGCATGGGCAGGGGGATTCTTGCATTCTATCATACAAATAATCTTCATGTTGCAGTTACCATTTTGTGGGCCTAATGTCATTGATCACTTCATGTGTGACTTGTTCCCATTACTGGAGTTGTCCTGCACTGACACTTATGTGTATGCCTTGCTAGTGTTTGCCAACAGTGGCTCTATCTGCATCATAATCTTTTCTATGTTGCTCATATCCTATGGTGTCATTTTGTTCTCTCTAAGAAATCACAATTCTGAAGGCCGATGGAAAGCCCTCTCCACTTGTGGATGCCATATTGCTGTTGTTATTTCATTCTTTGTTCCATGCATATTTATATATGCACGATGCACATCTGCATCTTCTTTCGAGAAAAAGGTGGCTGTATTTGATGCCATCATGACTCCATTGCTCAATCCTATGATTTACACTTTCAGAAATAAAGAAATGAAAAATGCCATTAAGAAAATGTGGAAAATATGAGATGTGGTCTGACAAAATTTAAAACTTTAAACTCAGCCAGGTGATGGTGGTACGTGCCTTTAATCCCAGCATTCGGGAGGTAGAGGCAGGCAGATCTCTGTGAGTTCAAGGTCAGCCTGGTCTACAAGAGCAAGTTGCAGGACAGACCCCAAACCCTATTTCAATATACCATTATAAAACTTTAAATTTACAAACTTTAATGTATAGAATAAAGAGGTCAATATTTACTTCAAGTTCTTTAGGATTTGTTCATTTTACAGAAAGAGATGTCACAATTCTATAAAGAAGGCATCATTACTGTAGGCTGAAACCTGTATTTATCTTGAAATTAATGTTTGCACTATCTCAGTTATGATAGCTTGAATGAGATGTGGCCTATAAGTATAGAGCATTTGAAAATTTGCTCTTCGGTGGTGGCTACATGCAGAGAATTAGGAGAAATTGACTTGAGGGAAAAAGTATGCCATTGGAGTAGTCTTTTAGGTTTCAAAAGTCTTGCAATTTCAAGTTCTCTCTTCCTCACATTTGTGTTTTAAAATATGATCTCCCAGTTGCAACAGTCACCTGCCACTTACTACCTCTGTTCCTTCATCATGGACTCTGATCCTCTGGTACCACATGTCTCAAATAATCACTTCCTTTTGAAGGCTGTTTTTGTCATGATGTTTAATTACAGCAATAGAAAGTAACTAATACATGAGTTTTTTTTATTTGAAAGTCTATATCTTGCTCAGCCTAGATATAGTAGGGAGGGCCTTGGAGCTTTCACAAAGCAATGTGCCTTACTCTCTCTGAGGACTAAATGGGGTGGGGTGGGAGGGTATGTTTTTCCTGGTAGCCTACCATTACAATCATAGATTATAATTAATTCATCTATAAACAAGCTGTCCTACATACTAAAGGAGCTTCTATGAATCCCCTGTGTAAATATTCGAGCTCCAGGATTCATGGATTCATGGCCACAGGTAGTTACAGAATCAAAATGTGGCTGTATCTTCTGTATCCACAAACTAAATATTTCAGTAAAACTAATTTTATATGTGAATGTGTACATGAATATACATGAATGTATTGGTATATACATAAATATTTATATTCATAGTTAAAATATTTGAGTACAGACTTAAGAGTATTACAAAGAACTAAGCACAGTTTTATTGATTGCCACATACATGATCAGACACAACTCTACATCTTAAAATCAATTGTAAGAAGGTGCATACATTTTCTTCAAAACAGCATTTATCTTTATATTCCTATGTCACTACTTCACCAGCATCTGGACTCTTTATCAACTTCCAAATTAAATCCAAGAAAACAGTGGTGTGAAATGAACCATACAGGTTCACAGGATAATCATCAGTTATAACAGACTAAGGATTACACTATATAATTAGCCTGCTATTCTTCAAAACTAAAGCAGGATGACTGAAGAACTACCACGAGTAAGGAGAACACAGGGCATTGTCCATGTGTAAAATATCATAATAAAACTCAGAATTTCTTACAATTACCATAGTTGAATAGGATTCTGTAAGAAATGGTGTACGTGTTTTGGGGGAGGGAATGAAGGAGGGGAAGTGCTGTAAGGATGTGTTGTAATGAGAGAAGAATAAATTTAAAAAATATATGGTAGTTTCTCTTTTGTTGTTGCAGGTATTTAGTAAGGTAGGGTTTTTCCCGGTAATAGCCCTAGATGATCAGAACACACTTTGTAGATCAGGCTGGCATCAAACTCACAGAAATCTGTCTGCCTATGCCTCCTGCATGCTGGAATGGAAGGCATGTGCCACAAGTCTGGCCTTCTGCTGTTCTTTATAATCAATAGTGTAATGTGAAATCCCACATATATACTCACAGGGACTCATGTATCAGATAATTTTTCTGTACAAAGAACACCAAAAAGAGCAGAATGTTCTAAGGAAAATGGGCCTCCTGGTAATTTAAAAATTAAGAAAATCTTAGCTTCATTTTCATGGTCTACTTAACATGGCCATTGAGGCTAAGAAAATTTTTCTCCCAGTAAAGCAATTGCCAAATTTTCAGTGAAAATCCACAGAAGAGAGAGTACAGTGTAATTAAAGGTTATGATCACAGGGGCTGTGATTTTAGACTAGAAGATAATCAGTGTAATACAAAGTGTAGTCTAAATTGAATCACAATTCTCTATAATGCAAATGGAGCCAACTAAAGAAATCCACAACTACTCAGAGTGTAGAAAACAACTGACTGTGTGGTGACCAATGCAACCTGATGCATCTGCAACATAATTAACAGAACTAAGATTTGACGAGCCCTGCAGAAAGCAGGGGAAAAATTATAAGAGGCAGAGAGTCAGGACATCTACCAGGAGAAAGTTATCTTCTATATAGTAGAAAGATAAATAATTTTTATATGGCTAAATTTATCATGTCTACAACTATTTCATATTCTTGTTAATGCATGCATAGTAAAGCAGTATGGCAGCTATCAATGTATATACATGATATCCTAAAAGTTTCAATAATTCCCTAAGTATGTTAATCTAAGATTAGAGCAAACAAATTGTAAAACATAAGTTTTAAGAAAAATTATTCATTTTCTTCTTTTGAGTGGGTCTGGGTCAAGTTGCAGTGTTGAGAACAAGAAATAGATATGACCAAAATATCCTATATACATATATGAAATTTTCAAAGAATAATATATATTTAAAGCTAAGCTCTAATGCTGGTGAAGAAGTGAACTTGCCAGAGAGGCACAGAACAACCACTTCCTTCTTTCATGTCCTTTATCTAGGCTACCAGTAGAAAATGTGGCCTGGATTATAGTTGGACTGCCCCACCTCCAATGACCTGGATAAATGGTGGGTCTTCACACTTAGAATGATTTAATCAGAAAAAAATTACTCACACATGTACCCAGTCACTGGAGATTTACTTAATTCCAACCAAGAATAACCATCACACCAACCATTTGTAACTCTAGGTATTTAACTCTTGTCTTTAACATGGCTAGAACTGCACACACATAGAATACATGTATATAAGCAGGAAAAGCATTTGTACATATAATAATGTAAACATAAGTAAACATTTTTTAATGTATTTGTGTCACTGTCTGAATGTTCTCCTGTCTTGAAAGTTTCTTCACCGAATGAATTAGTTTATCATAATGAAATATTATTTCATTATTATTCTCATAAATAGTTATGATTAATATCTTGGCTGTCAACTTGACTATATCTGGAGGTAACCTAAATTTTAGAAGCTAAGTATATCTGTGTAGGATTTTCTTTGATTAAATCATTTGAGATGAGAAGACCTACCTTAATTCTAGGCCACACCTAATCACTACTGCAATGGTAAATATGAAGCCAGATTCTGGAAAAATACATCATGTGAATGGCTCATACATACTAGGAATTTTTTGACTAATGTTTCAGTCTTCCATATCCATCCCCAAATCACTTTTAAAAGGTAAAAAAAAACACATTATTATGTTTAAGAAAGAAAGAATCAAACTTCTTGTACCAAGTTTATGTATCTGTTAATCTAATTCTTATCCAGAGAACTCTATTCTAAATAAGGACACATTCATGTGTCTCACAGGGCAATGGTGAAGTCCATAATATCTGGCGGTCATGACAACAGGAACTGAAGGGAGCTGGTAATGTTGCATTCACAATAAAGAATCATAGTGATAAACAGCTCAGAGAACAAGACTGCCCACTTTTCAGGTGACCCTTCCCTGTCAACAAGTCAAGATAAATCAAATAGAGATAAATCCTCACAGGCATGCCCAGATGCTAGTCTAATCAAAAATTTCCTCACATGTGTTTCTGGAGACTAAGCAATTTGATTGTTCTAAATCCTGTCCAGCTAACTGTTCACACTGACCATCACAGTATTTCTCATGCTACCTTACTATATTGAACAGTAATAGAGAGAAGATATACTTGTCTTATACTTGAATTAGTCGGAATGCCTAAAATGTTCTCTCTTTCAATACCTTGTTCTCAGAACTCGTATGTCTCTTGATTTATGAGAAATTCTTGACTCTATGGACTTTGTTAGCCTGGTATATGCGTAAGTTTCAAGTACCCAACATTTTAGTGGTGGTGGAATTGATGACTCAGGTCAGTACACCAGTGTCTACTTAGGGTTTCTGTTACTGAAGTGAAACAGCATGACCAGATGCTACTTTGGGAGAAAGGGTTTATTTGACTTAAATTTCAGCATTGTTGTTTATTACTGAAGGAAGTCAGAAAACAAACTCAAACAGGGAAGGATCCTAAAGGCAGGAACTAAAGCAGAGGCTTCCGTGGATCCAAGAAAGAGACCTGAGCTTGAGAGCTCACTGCACACACTGACCATTCACTATATGATAGATCAGATGCATATTCTCTCAATGATATGGCAATTTGTTGGAAAGGAGCTTACACAGTGTATTTTCTTTTTATTCTTTTCTTTTCTTTTCTTTTTTCTGAAATGGGGTTTCTCTGTAGATTTGGAGCTTGTTCTGTGACCAGCTCTTGTAGACCAGGCTGACCCCAAACTCACAAAGATCCATCTGCCTCTGCCTCCCGAGTGCTGGGATTAAAGGCATGTGCCACCACTGCCCGGCTCACAAAGTATTTTCAACTTTCCAGAGATGAAAATAGTCATCCAATGATACTACTCCCAACTGCTTTTTCTTATTGAAGGCTAAAGACTACAACTTTCAGTTGCCCAGGTTTGTATGCTCCTTAAGGATATCATTTAAGACTTTGTGAGTGATGTGAGGATACACAGGGGCTAGTGACACATTATGTCTTGCATTGCTTTTGGTCAATCCATCATTTGTCACCTCCAAGAGTATCACAGAGCCATCCCATGAGCCAAACTGCAAGAGTATCATTGACACAAGCAGTAGAAAAGATCCAACTCTTATGTCCATCATCACCTCCACCACACATGCAGGATCTAATGTGGACAGTCAACAGAATGCAAGACTAAGTTTCCTCCTCCTGTGTCTAGGAGTGT